ATTCCTGTCAGGATACTGCCATACTGTGCTCAAAGCAAAGATGAAAAGGTCAGAGATCTATCTGTGACTGAAGAAATAGTACATATCCAAAACTTCTGTTTCCCACTTTCCTGTTAGAAGATGCATGTATTTTGCATATCTATGTTTGAGAGTATCTCCATTTCAAGCATAGTTTCTAACATTTGATTTTTCTTTTAAAACAAAACAATCATGGAAAAATGATCAATTACAGGACATTTATTAATTATAATTAGAATGCATGCTAATCAACTGACCTTTTAATGTGAATCAAATGTTGGTTTAGACATTGAAGATTATTAATAATAAATTCATCTTACAAGTCAAAACTCTGTAAAATAAATAACCTGTTTCTAACATATGAACCCTATTCTAAAATACATTAAAGATAACCGATCACTTAAAACACTTTGGGTCCAGTGTTGGGTCTCTAGTTAAATACCAGAAGTCTGGGCAAGGATCTTCCTGTCTGGATTTCTGAATGCCCAGATTAAAGCTAACTTTCTGGTCTGGGTACAGTAGATTCTGTATTTTGCAGTGTCTCCAATGAGACAGCTTCCAAAAGAATTCAACGAGCACTGTATACATCATAGTTTAAGATACTGTATGAAAATTACTATTGCAAAAATACTGTATAATGCATTCGGGGATCATGACATATTATAGAACCCTGGCATGATCAGCATTAGAGACTTTAATTGAAATACTGAATACTTGATGCTCCATTTGGAGTGCAGGTATTTTGTGGTACGTAGTTATTAAAGGACGATATTGGACTGTAATTTGTGAGGTATCTGCAGAGCCACGTTGCAGTTTGTAAACAATAATCTGAAAACAGCTTCATCTCAAAATCACAATAAATTGAATAAACCAGTACAAGGGAGAGAGTGAAATACATGTTCTGTAGGGCAACCACTACACTTTTTGCAGCACCAGTTCTCCCCGCTGCATGTTACATGGTACAAATCCACATATTAATGGTTTCTATTTGATCATTTTCATTTTGCATTTATTGCTCTGTCTTTGACTACAAGATAAAGAATAAGGCAGCAGTTCCCAAAACATATGAAATTAGGCACTGGAACTCTGACAACTTACGCAGGTTTTGCTCATTTCCTGTTTGTAACTCTGAAGCTGGACAGAGCACTTGTACATTCCAAATGTGTTCAGCAGCAGTTGTTGGGCCTTGGACTGAACTTCTTCCCATTTAGATGAACTACCAGGAACTGAAAAATCAAGAAAATAATTAATAGAATTCACCCCTCAAGAAACCTGGACAATCCAGGTGTTCTCAAATTTTTTACAGTGTTACCAACTAGAATCATCTTTGTTCACATTCATTTATTAATTTAATATTGTTCTGTGGTCACTATGTCCTCTCTATATATTATTTTACACCTCTAGGTCTATATCCTCTAACTAGACACATCTTGATAAAACTGTGTGTTAGACACCACCCCCCAACCCCCCAAAAATTCAGCTTTCTTACTAAGAATTAATATTCATAGTACTGTTAGATGTCTGAATCAGCACATGTTTTGGGAAAAGATACTTATTTTTCATATGTCAGATTGTTCCACATTAGAACTTCACCCTGTCTTCCCCTGGACAAAATAAGGGAATTTCTCAGGAGAAATCCTTTCCCCCCCACACCCACCCAAAGAATCTGTACTGGATGTTTCAGTATGAATATATTTTCTTTGCACAATTTTCATTTACACTGTGTCCTTCTGGGCCAATGGGTTCTATACCTCGCTGTACAAAACCATAGTTAGTAGATTTTTTTTTCCTTCCCAGAATGATATTTCCTGGTTCAACTTAAATAACAATATGAAGAGAAAGTGTTTGGGGTTTTTTCTACACTTAGATTTAATTTAGAATCATGCTATACAGCAGCTTACCTAGTTGCAAGTGGACTATGGCAGTTGTTTTTCCTGCAGTGAGAGACCAAACATTTAAATCTTCTATAGAATAAACGTCTTCAATTTTCATCAAGTCTTCCTTAATGCGATCCACATTTAAATGCCTTGGAACTCCTATGATACCAAACATGAGATAAAATTAATTGTGTCTTCTGCAAACTCTCAGTAGCCTTTAAAATGTCATGACAGATCTCAACGTCAAAAGAGTTTATATGCTGTTGGAAGTGATTAGTAACTTCCAAATTATCAATAGAGAAGAATATGCAAACTGGCATATTAAGTCCAGTATGGATACAGAAGTAGTACAGGAATTGCAGCATCATCTCACACGTAATTTGTCCTGTCCAGAATCCCCTCTCTGGCAACAGCCAGCATTAGATCCTTTGGAACGATGTACTTGTGCAGAAACTTTACTGCAGCTTCAACCCCCTAGTAACTGCTTAGACCAGACTCTAAGGTCAGAATCTAAAAAAATACATGCTAGGGCCTGCCCCCAGCTGTCTCCTAAAACTTCTCTCTTCAGGTTACTGGTATCATTTTCAAATGCTCATCGTAATCCATCTGCAGCGGTTTGCACATATGACTTTTGTCTTACAGCATGCCATCTTTGCAAATCAATGATTGCATTGACCAAGTCCTTCTGGACGTAGTATTTTCAGCAGCTACAGCACCTCTATAGCTTCCCTACTCCACCCTTAAGCTGTACAAAGGTGTCGTGGTTTAGCCCCAGCCAGCAACTAGGCACCACGCAGCCGCTCGCTCACTCCCCCTGCCCTGATGGGATGGGGGAGAGAATCGGAGGAGTAAGAGTGAGAAACACTCCTGGGTTGAGATAAGAACAGTTTAATAATTGAAATAAAGTAAAACATTAATGATAATAATAACAATATAATAATGATAATAACAATAATAATATACAAAGCAAGTGATGCACAATGCCATTGCTCACCACCCGCCGACCAATACCCAGCCAGTTCCCAAGCAGCGATCGCTGCTCCCCAGCCAACCCCCCCCAGTTTCTATACTGAGCATGACGCCATATGGTATGGAATAGCCCTTTGGGCAGTTTGGATCAACTATTCTGGCTGTGCCCCCTCCCAGTTTGTTGTGTGCCTGGCAGAGCATGGGAAGCTGAAAAGTCCTTGACTAGCATAAGCAGTACTTAGCAACAACTAAAACATCAGCGTGTTATCAACATTCTTCTCCTACTAAATCCAAAACACAGCACTATGCCTGCTACTAGGAAGAAAATTAACTCTATCCCAGCCGAAACCAGGACAAAAGGGCAGAATCAAAATTTTTGATGAACAACGTGAACGCAAAAACTAGTACAAAAATACTGAATAATCTCTGTTTCTGAATAGTTTTGTTTCTGTCATAGCTTTTTACTGCTTATGTTCCAGTTTTATGGAGTTTGATTATATATACTACGAAGAGTTCAGCCACTTGCTTCTCAAGTTTCTTCAGAATTTTTGGATGACTCCCCTCTGAACCTGATATCTCACTGTCTTTTAAATTATGTTAGTTCCAGTACCATCTCTTTTGAAAGTTCAGTGTCTAGGATTGCCTCATATTAAACAAAATTTTCCTTATAGTGAAGACTAACAGAAAATTATTTAGCTGATAAATAACTAGCTAACTGCCTGGTATTATTTCTACAGCTTTCTTTTTCCCAGGAAACGGACTTAAATTTTGATATTTCGCATCACGCTATTGATAGATGTCCGTGCTGCCTTATATACCTACATTAAAAGCTGGAATCTCATTGCTTATATTAGATAATAATTTGAGTTTTTAACTTAGCATTCCTAGTATAATGATGAAACTTAAGTTAAAATGAATATTGAAAACTCATACAACTCCAAGGACCCGGATGTTGTAGCAGTAGTCTCCAATATAAATGCAAGTTCATTTTCTGGAGATCCTGAATTTGAGTTGGAAAAATATCCTAGCATACATAAAGCCCACCTATCATCACTTTTAATAACATCACTAATGCGGACATTTTTATGACAACTGGCATACCTATGCAAACAGCTACAACTCAAACATCAGGAATCTGATACACCATTAATTTGTCTTATCTGTTTTCTTCAGCTAAATCTTAGCTATTGCCTTGGAGCTAATTGAGGTCTCTAACAATTTTTTACCATTTTTGCCTTCTCAGTGAACTTCCATTTTGTTGGATTGTTTTTTTCCCCTCCTAAATGACAGCAAAAGTACTTGACATTGAAGATTTTGAGGTCCTTGATTTAACCTCGTAACATAATAAAAGTCAGTAATAGCTCACATGAGACAGCTAGGAAGATGCAACTAACACCTAGGATTTTTCTCCCCTCCCCAGCATTTTCACTTTCATAAGGTAAAAGTACTAGATCAAGCAGTAATAGTTGGCATGTTAGTTATAATAATGCAAAGAACATTGCTGGCACCTTTCCCTCTAAGTCACCACGAGATAAGATTCTTCAGCTTATGTTCCAGCTTTTTCTTTCCTTTTTCTTTTTTCTTCTTCCTTTTTACTTCCACTCTTTACTCGTAGCTTCCCCTACGGTAACGCAGTAGAAGCACACAAGTACTACAACAGCACTTGTGGAAAAGGGGAAGACAGGACAGGCATGAACCACCTGTCCAGCCATTTGGCCTAAGCTCGCTTCCTCCTTTTACGTGCATTCACATTCACTTTAACTTTGCAATAATTAACGTGTAGAAATGAGTCTGGGCAAATGTTCACTTAGTTTAGCTGATAGCCACTGCAGACACACAGGAAAGTTCTGTACATTTCACTGCAGAGGTCAAAGACACCTAAAGACTGCTGCAACTTAAATGAGCCATCAAGAACCAACAGACGAAAGCAGCAGCAGGATAAACAGGTCTCCAGCCACAGTCCACTTTGTTAGAGATGGTGATCATGATGTCAAAAAAAGTGACAATGCTCACTGGTATTTGACTTGTAAAGTACTGTAGACTGTGCACAGATCTTACCTTCCAGAATAATAACTCCTGTGTCACACAGAATTCGAACTGTTGTCAAAACCACCAGTATGGAGAATACATATGTACATATAGGATCAGCAATCTTGTATTCTGGCTGCAAGGGAAGTTCCAAAGTGTTAAAGGATGTAAGAAAATAAGCTCACTTGTAAAAATGTGACTCAGAAAATGCAGTTACTTCTAGCTCCAACTTTCATGAGTATTTATGCTTGTTTGAATAGTTACAAAATACATAATAGAGAGAGTCTTTGCTTATTTTGCATGAATGTATGAAGCTTATAATAGAATATCGCAAAGTATTTTTTTAATAACTTAGAAAAACAAGTCCCTTTTAAATTTAATCACCGGAGTTGAAATTAAAAAAAAATCCACCCTGCCTCAAAGACTAGCTGTTCCTTACCTTAAAGCGTATGATGTAAGCAGCTACGAGCACACCAATACTTTGTACCAGGTCCCCAAGGGCGTGTACAAATGCTGCTCTCACGGCAAGGCTGCTGTGTCCATGGCTGCTGCTGTGGGCTGTGCTAGGAGAGTTCGACTGAGGTACACGAGAGTGAGAGTGGGAGTGAAGGTGGCCAGATTGATTCAGCAAAAAACCCATTCTGGAAGTGAAAGAAGAAAAACACTTTAAGAAAATAGGCTTTAGGGTTTGGTGGATGGGCCTTTTTTGTTGCTTTTTTCTTTTACTTTCCTTTTAAACCAAAGAATTGAAAAGGTAATACTCAGTATCGTTTCTTGTCTTATTTATGAAAATGAACAGATCCAGCAAAATTATAGGCCATGAATAAATTAGCAGCTTATTCAGAAATACATTTATGAGTGTTAATGGAGAGAAAGGGAGATCTTACATTAAGTTAACTGCAACACCAACGGCTGCTGTAATCAGCATGATATCTCCATTTATTTCATAGTCCATATGGATAGTTCTTTGAACAGCTTCATACAAGAGGAATGCCATAAGGATATAGACCAGCAATACACTAATGATGGCTGACAGTACTTCTGCAAACAGAAAGGAAACATTACAAAAGTGAGTCTTAGATCTATTTCTATTTCCAAATTAGAACATGGACAGAGCCTTAATTATTTTAACTAGTTTATGCATATTATAACCCTAATGCACAACTAACAGGTTCTGCAGTGAATAAAACTCGTAAAATAGGATTAACAAATGGAGTTTGTTCTAATCAACCCCTTCACGCTTCCCCGTCAGTATATCCCTCAAATTATGTTTTCTCTGAAGACTTCTGCATGGGCGATGACTGTGACTTCTTCAGACAACCCTGAGAAACTGCAGACAAAGGCTGTGTCCAGGGGAGAGGAAAATAGGTGATCTCAAACATCACTACCCCACCTACCAATAAGAGAAAGTCTGATTTCAAGTGTCCACAGTATTAAGCTGGAATTAGAAACTACTTTTATATATCCTTTTGTATTTAGGATGAAAAAAAAAATTATAAAAAGATTAAGAAACTGAACAGTAGAAACTTGTCAGACATATTAGTCCTAAGCTTCTTGATGTATATGGACATACCCGGTATTTATTGCAGATTTCAGCTATGACGGATTGCTTAATGTAAGTTTCTATATTGCTGTAATATGCTGTTTTAATATTATCTAACATTTACCAAATACTCATACTTCACAAAAATAAGAGTGTTATGACCAACAATCCTACCAGTGTAGGAATTTTATCTGATCAGTAGGGACTTTCAAAAGGGCACATACATCTCAATAAAGAGAAAATTAGAAAGTTAATGAGATCTCCTAATACTTCATTTTCCTGCACCTTGCGCTGCCATTTACATCTGTAGAAAGTGGTTACAGCTCTCTACAAGGTTCCTGCTGTTCTGATGTGAGATAAATCGGCCTGAATATTTTATGGCTTTGGACCTTAGTGCTGTCTGCGTCAGTACCCAAGTCATGAAATTGGGCTGGTAATAGTATGCATAAACCTGAGAAGGATGAGTCCACGCTACAGTTTTAAGGTCCTACTATAAAGAATATGAGTATTTCCAAATGGGTCACTAGATTCCTTTTAACATAAACGTACTTTTACCTTCTAGTTTCATATTCTGAAAATGATTGCCCTGTTGCAGCTGAAATTTAAAAAAAGGCAAGGTACCTGACAGAGAACACTGGCCCAGTTACAAGCAAGTTAATACAGGGCTTTGCAAAAAGCACTGGGAAACCCTAATGCTAGTTCCGTTGTATTGCATGAAAATCTGCAGCCATGCCTGAGTAATCTGTAATCATTATGTGTAATGCTCATTACTGTCACTTGCCAGATGGATTACTGGGATCCTAGCCTTCCTGTGTGAATTCAAAGATCAGAGTCAGAATTAATTTACTTGGAACTATAATGGTTGTTCTTCCCCCTTGTTCCATACGTGTTGCCCTGATTTATTCCCCAGTAAGGGCAAAATTCTGCTCTTGGCTGTACCATAGCTCTAAGAATACTGATCTGAGAATTGCCTCACTTGTCCCTCTGCTTTCAATCTGTCAGTGTATAGTGCAACTTTGGTTATCGCAGCAGGTGTCATTTCTAACACAGAACTGCCCTAATTTTATTTACTGAATATTACAGTAAAAAACATGCAGCTATATAAGCTTTTTAATATCACCAAAATCACTTGATCCGTACACTGAATTTTTCACATCATTATGGGAGAAGAAACTCACACCAACGCATTCAGCTGTTCGGTACTGTGTCAATGCCTGGATGAGTACCAGCATTACCAGGCAGTAACAAGGCTCTGAAAGGCAACTGTCACAATCGCAGATGATTTCAGAGCAACATGAAAATCCTGGAAATATCCATGCAAGTGGTAGCGTTCTTTAGAAAGCAGGCAGATTATTCAGGGCAAAAGCCTTAAAAAAAAATAATGCATTGCTTAGAAGGTTTTCCAGAATGCTTTTTTAAACAATTGTGAAGCCACAGCACATTAGCATTTACCACAGAAAAACATATTGTGCTTTTACAATCTAAACCCATGTTTTCTGCAGCGGAAACCACTGTTTTCCTTGCAGCTTCTTTGACAGAGTCATTGTCATGTCAGCATTGTAGATTTGTGCTGAGATCTTTCACTTCTTGTGAAATGAACTATGCACTGTCTTAGTGGACTGACTGATTCTGTCATTACTAACATTGTCTCTGCAGCAATGGAAGAATGCCAGGTTCCATATCTATGCTTAAATCTGCTCAGTGTCTTGCTGAGAAGGAGGCATCTGCACTTGCTGGTGAAACAGAACAATTTTTGGCTTCAAGAATATAATCCTTTTTCGACAGGACTGCAATTTCCATTATTTTGTCTTCACTTTTCTAACCCATTCCTGAATCTGTCAGCTTCCTTTTCACCACTGAAAATGGAATAAAACTGAAGATGGAGCGTAGATATTATGTATTCAAAGATAATTCAAATAAATGAAAACCAGTGCTAATGTCCTTCTGGAATTTGACTAGACAACTAATAGGTCTGTTGTCTTTACAATGCAATGTTTATGGGAACGAGATTGAAAATTCTTCATTCTCAAACAAAAGTGATAATGAGTACCAGAAACATTGTTCATTAGAATGTTTTCATGCTTCCTGTATGTATAGATTATCTTAAAACTTAATGCAAAGCAGGTCAGCGATGAGACAGTTCTTGCACATATTCCCAGCTCTAAACAAACGCTCCACATTTCTTCTGTGACAGATGCTCAATCTGTACCCTATTTTTAACATTCTGTCATGTTTTAACATCTCTCTCATGAAATTCAAGCTATTGTTGAGCTCATATTATTTGCTGACAAGCTTCTTCCATACAGGTTATTTGGAAAAATGTGTTACAGTGAGGATATACCCTAGAAGCAGCTTTGTTCCATTGCCAGCATTCACTGATGCGTGAAACTGGGCCCTCAGGCCACAGCGTTCAGATTGGGTGCCTAAAATCAGGCAAATAAATTTCGCAAATGTGACTTTAAAAAACTGTGTACAGTCAATTTTGAACCATCCCATTTTCTGTACTTGCAGAGCCTAGGTCAAGGTTTGGGGGTCTCCTGCAGGGCCTTTACCCTCTTCCCCTTCCTCACTGCAGCCACAGAAACTCTTCCCCGACCCCCAGGCTCCAGTTGCCCTCCTACAGAGAGAGCTGCACTGCTGCTACTCACGCAGAATGGTTGAGGTAGAAAGGAACCCTGGAAAGTGTAGTCCTGCTCAAAGCAGGGTCAAATACAGCAGGTTGCTCAGGGCTGCGTCCAGTTGGGTTTTGAGTATTTCCAACTGTGGAGACTCCACAACCTGTTCTAGCGTTTGACCACCTATGGGCACTGGGCAGCAGAAAAGAAGGAGTAATTGCTGCAGAACTGAGAAGCTGCTCCCTGGAGCTTCTCCCAGGGAGAAGATGGTGGGTGATATGGACTAATTCTATGGGCCAGTTCCAGCCCATCAGTCTGGCCAGTATTTTTCTTGGCAGTAAAATGGGAGGGGAAAAAAAAAAGGTGCAGAAAGTGAGGTGGCAGGAATCCTCAGGGATTTGTGTTTGCAAAGTGCTATGGAGCCCTCTAATTAATTAATTGAAAAGTCAGTGAAAATTTACAGAACTGAGTAAGATTTTAATGGTTAAAAAAGTTTCTTTTATTTTTCTTAAGATTAACTCCTGTTTTAAGCTAGGCTGTGGCATGTTCAATGTAGTTCAATGTATGTACTATTTGGTTTTAGAAAAGTTACAAAGACACATAAACTACTCAAATTATTTTTAAATAGGGTGAAAGTACGTATAAAAGCTAGCAAATGTCTTTCTGGAGAGTATGGCAAATGCCAGGGGCATACCTGCAAGGTCAGGTTTCAGTATTAGGAGAGCTCCTATTGCAAAATTAAAACTTCTTGAAAGAAAAGTTTGTAATGGGAAATGCTGGCATTGTTAATGCTTTCTTGCTAAAGCCCCAAAGATCTTTGCTAGTGTACAGAGTTATGCATTCATGCATTAGTGACTAACTGATGACAAATGACCAGGAGTGATGGAGTTGTTGAATTCTACTGCTGTTCTAGCAGACAAAATAAGAATTACAAGTAATGACTACACACGACTTTGAAATTCCTTGAAAAATATACGCTATAGAATGTATAGAGCAGAGGTAGCAAACTGTGACACTAGAAATTATCTATTTCATGAAAAATAAAGGTTGAAGCTTTTGGTAAAATGTCTACAAGGCCTGCAGCTGTATATTATGAATTATTATATCCAGTTAGCAACCACATGAAGACACCCTTTGTATTTTGAAACATGAAGTAATGAATCCTGAAAATACCCTTCCAAGGTTTAGTACATAATTCTGTTTATACTTCTTTTTACAGAGACCTAAAATGGGCAGAGGTTAAGTAGCACACTGTATTGGAAACGCTGGGACATTTTGACCTCTGCTTTGTGTGGTTTGGGGAGTGCAAGAGGAATACTGATTTATGTGGCTTCTGGCAGGGCAGAACTCTCTGATAATGCTCTCTACAGAATGTTTTAGTTCTGGATTAAGATGTAATTTTTCACACTGAATGGGACCTTCTTCTAGTGTCATAATCTACTGAAGTCAATGGGACTTCGTAAATCCTGGGCACTGACAATAATCTGTTGCAAACAACAACTGACTGACATGTACAGCTCCTGCACCAACAAGCTCCTCAGTGTGTCACACAAGCAGTAACAGTGGTACAGCAGTGAGTGACCGAAGAATGTGTCCCTCTCTTGCTCAACAGCCTCAAGTCCAAAGCACAAAGGTGCACAGGGGTCTGAGCGAATGCAATCGCCCATTAACTATGGATGGGCTGTGAAACACATCAGCCTTGTTCTTGCTGGGGACAGCTTCCCTCCTCTGAACCCTTTTTAAACTTTTTAGGCCGTGGTTCATTTGTAGGAAGTCATATTTACAATGCCATTGTGTATCCAATTCCCCAACCTTCCTCTTTAAGATGGAAGATGAATCAAGCATTCAGAATTTAACTCTTGAATCTGCCGAGTCCTAGTTCCACAGAGTCCTAGTTCCACGGAGATGGAGAGACTCATCCTGCTCCCAGTGAGTGAAATTCTGCTATCAAACTTCACTTTTGGCTGAGGTTTAAAATTTAAAAAATTATTTTTTTATTATCTGTTCCCTTGTGGCAATACAACCTATGTAGTGTATGGCCAGTGAAAGGACATTAGAGTCACAGTGTTAAACATAAAGCCACTTTTAGGTTTGTCGTTACTTTCTTTCTAATTACCTGTTCTTCTAGAATTAGGTGATCTTTACAGTTGTTGCTTAAAATATTCTGTTAATAGCAAAAGTTGATATCTACATACCTAGGCGATGAAATCCAAAAGTGAACCTCTTTGTGGGAGATTTTGCAGACAGCCAGAGAGCAAGCAGGGTCAAAATAATACCGCTAAGGTCAGTTAACATATGAAGTGCATCTGTCATAATTGCTAGACTGTTAGCAACATATCCACCTGAAAACAAAGTTGGAAAAGTCAGGACATATGACATTAATGATTCTAGATAATATCCTGTTGGCACAGCTTACAGTCATTTATTTTCAGAACAATGCACTAAGTGCATGAGAGCCCTTCTTATAATCACTAAACAGGGTTTTTTTGCCATTACATCAAAAAGCCACGCTATAATTTAAAGCTACCATAGTTACAAGTGCAGTGAAGTGTGCTTTCTATTAAGAGTAACACAGAAAGGATTCACTCCTGTTACTCTCAGAGAGACTACTTGCATCATAACATTTGCAAGATCTGGCCCAAAATAGTTTTGTCTCTTTTCTCTATGTATTATTGCATATGTGTTTAATCAGCTGATCCTTTTATTAAACTACATCTGTTAAATATTTTGACATTACAGAACAGGGATAGAAATCCAATGACTCAATGGCATGGAAATTTACCCTGCTCCCTTTTTATTTTTATTACATTATCTTTTAACCATTATTCCCTGTCCTGGCAGGGGTGTGCAAGTTCTGCCAATATATATTGCAGGCAATGACTTTCACTTGCACAGTGTTTTTCTTTGTTATTACCATAATTTTTTTCTGTAATTATGAGCTACACTGAGACAAATAACCTCAGATCAAAGGTTAATATCTTTGTTCCAATTCAATTGCTAATGCTACTATTAGGTGGGTGAGAGATTTAAACAATGCGTCTCTCTCTTAAGCATCCCTTATCCAAAGAGGAATCACGGACAGGCTGCATTGTGTTCCATATGCATGAAGGTAAGCCCATTTTCTCAGAAAAGATTGCATCTTTAATGTCAGCTCAGCTATGAATTAGTTTCTCTTTCTACCTTGAGACTGCCATTCAGCCTGTAAACTCTACTGAGCAAAGCATGCAGCTGGTGTGCCATGTGGCAGGCTTGAGGCTCTTAACATTTCGAGCAAAGGTGTCTTCGTATACAATTAAACCTGCCTTAGTGAAGTGGCTGACCACGAGGAAATAGCAAAGGGAAATTCACAACTGGCTGACTGCTTTCAAGACTGGCCATAAAACATGTGCGTATGGCTGTGGGTGCCTGTACGCACGCACCTGCAGAGCGAGCTACGCTCTCCTCCCCAGCCAAACACAAGCAGCATGGCTGATGCTGTAGTACTGCTTGTACTGTGGGTAACTACCAAATATACCACATTTCCACCAGTTCCTTTCCTCCATCCCCCCTTCTTCAGTTGTTCGTAAGTTTCTAAGTCACATTCTTCTGAGCATGAAATTTTCCAAAGGCTCAAAAATAATGAGTTTTTAAGATTTAGCAATTCAGCAGCTTTTTGAGTAAAATGAGTTCTGCCTTTCCTTTCTGAATTAATTTTTGTTCTCACGTAATTTAAAAAAAAATATGACTTAGAAACGTGCAACAGCCTCTTTTATAGTCAACAGAGAAGAAACAATAATTTTTATCTAAGGACATTCAATTCAGTAGTTTACATGTATGATCATTTAAAGTATGTATGTTAATTCACATGTATTAATTTTGAGAATCACTTCGGTCCAAGATGAGTCAATTCTATTTCAGCTAGTCTCTTGCTTTTAAAGACTTTAAAAATAAAATGATAAAGAAGGAATTCAGGTATTGAAGCTAATCGTAATGCAGCATGTGGATTAAGAAAACATAATTGAGATTTATGAAATTCTGAAATCAAAGGGGCTCTGTTTCCAAACGTATCGGTTCATTGCTTGGTTAAAGGTACTGCCTAAGGGCTCTTTAAACATGAGTGGCAACTTGGGAAAAAAAAAAGACATTATAACCTTTACAAATAGACAGCTTGATGGCTCACCACTGTTTTCAGTGACCCATGAAGGACAGCAGTCCTCCTCATGGACGATCAATTAGAAATCTCTAAACATAGCTGAAAACGTCAAACCCTGCCAGGAAAGCTAACTAGAACTTGCAATGTGTTTATCATTTCTTGATGCAAAATGGTTCCCACAAAGTGTAAGTTGTTATCTGACTTTTACAATGACTGTTCATCAAATTAAACAACAAACACTGAGGTGGGCTGGGGTAATGAGCTTGGCTGTACTTTGGAAAAAATATGCCAATCAAGATTTCCCAAAAAAGCTGCTGAAACAAGATTTCCTTCATCTTGACATCGGTAACAGACAGCAAGAGGAGTTTTACTGAGCAAATTAATTGTCTGATAGGGGTCTTCCACCTTTTTCTCAGAAACTCAAATCTGTCAAAGATCACAGAAGTCAGTTAAATGTCCTATATAATCAACCAAAGTTTCCCAAATACCTGAGCTACAGATCAATTAAAAAAGTTCCAAAATTTGAAACCAACCAGAAAGAACACAATACAGAGCTGGAGTGAAATAAATTAAACAGGTAGGGCACTGACCCAGGACTTGAGGGCTCTGTCTTTAATTACTCGTTCTGCTGCCGATTACTTGCCCTGTGACAAGTCATTCAGGTCAAGATCCACAAAAGTACAGAGATACCCAAGTCCTCTATTTATTCTCTGTGGAAGATGGATGCCTAAATATTTTCTGGGTCTGGCCCTTAGTGCCGTGTGCCTCAGTGCCCAAATGATGAAATAGGGCTGGTAATAACATACGTGAACCTGAGGACGATTCTTACTTCAAGCACGTATATTTTATTAATTTAAATGCAACAGAAATAATACAGGACAAATTAGTAACTAAGAAAGAGGTTATAGTTTAAGGATAGAAACTAACATACGAGAATTGCAGTATGCATTATATTCAAGGCAAGAGATAATGAAACAATACACGCCTTGCTAACAACTATACCCACAAATAAGAACTTCAAAGATGGAAACATCCTGCTACGAGGAAGATTGTGAAGATAAGAATGCCACAACCATGAATTCAGCAGAAGTCACAGTAACTAGGGGAAAGGTAAAGATGGCAGGGGGAGATTGCGTCCCCTGACTCAGCTGGAGACTAAAAGGACTATGCCCCCACTCTCCTTGAGCACGTGCAGTAAATTGAAATCACACTGTAGCTTAAAATTGAAGTGAGGAAAATACAGACTAATGAGAGGCTACCTACTAGTAAGAAGAGTTTAGAAAATGATTATGTATAACCAAATTGTATAAGTACTGTACTTGTCTGACTGAGCGGTGTGCTTGATTTGTGGAAGTATTCCACCTTGCCCCTGCACAGAATAAAGCAATGTCTCCTCTCTAAACATACTTAGTGTCTTTCGGGAGTTATTTTATAATACAGGTAACAGGATGAGCTCACACTACAGTACCAACGCTTTGTACAGACAAATCCGCCATCCTGAGCTGAGCTTGCAGAAGTCCTGGCTGCAAGGGAGAAACAATAGATGTGTGACAGTGATGAGAGAGTATTTTTACTCTCAACACCTATTATTTCTAGAGCTCTCCCTGCACTAGCTATGGAGAGGTCTACAATAGCATGAATCCAGTCTGAAGCCCCCAACCGTTGCACTCTTAGTGACTTCAGCATCAAGCTGCCAACAGCTCAGACACAGAAGAATCATAGAATCATCGAACCATTTAGGTTGAAAAAGGCCTTTAAGATCATCCAGTCCAACCATTAACCGAACATTACCAAGTCCACACTAAACCAATTAAGGGTAGAGTAGCAATTTCATGTTTCCTGACTTGGTGGCTGGATTTTTTGTTAATGAAAGTAAAAACTAGGAATCATTAAGGTTGGAAAGAATCTCTAAGATCTTCAGTACAACCATCAACCCAACACCACCATGCCCACTAAACATGTCCCAAAGTGCCACATCTACCCACTTTTTGAACACTTCCAGGGATGGTGACTCCACCACCTCTCTGGGCAGCCTCTTCCAATGCCTGACTACCCTTTCCGTGAAGAAATTTTTCCTAATATCCAATCTAAACCTCCCCTGACACAGCTTGAGCCCATTTCCTCTCATCCTATTGCTGACTACTTGGGAGAAGAGACCAACACTCACCTCACTACACCCTCCTTTCAGGCAGTTGTAGAGAGCGATAAGGTCTCCCCTCAGCCTCCTCTTCTCTAGGCTAAATAATCCCAGTTGCCTCAGCTGCTCCTCATAAGACCTGTGCTCCAGATCCTTCACCAGCTTCGCTGCCCTTCTCTGGACAAGCTCCAACACATTATTCGGCAAGGGGCACTTCAGATGAGCTAAACTCAGCATGTATCAGAATGCTGGTATGAATACAACCAAATAAAATCACTCTCACGTTAAAGGATGTCTATGCTAAGCACTATGTTGCTTAGCAAATTTACCCGAGTTCATGCTGAACCAAAATCTCAGTCAGAGAAAGAAAACGGAGCCGGGGGGCAAATGGAGCCATTCAAACAGATCCCTGCAACAGGTTTGACGTGAAGTGCCTTATCCGCGATGAGCTGATGTATTGTGGCAGTGTTATTAATGACTAACCACACACCAAGAGGTGTTGAAGGACAAAACCACTTTTTTCCATTTACCCACATTCCTGAAATAAGGCCCCAAATAAAACTGGTGCAGATACAGTCAGTATTCTGGTCTCTCTCTGAAAAACAGCCCATTTCTCCTAGGGATTTTTTTCTATGGATGTGGGACAAACTGTATTATTTATACTCAAGCAATGATTTTGTTCCCTATCCATCTTGCAGAAGTTTCTGTCTTGCAGATACAATTCACAACTGTCCTAGGACAACTGATCCAAGAGCACGAGCTCACTTCACAGAAGCAAACATCAGATCTTCAGTCACTACTGACCACATTTGCATGGGTGAGGAGGAGGAGTTAGGTCCCATGTTACTAGAGCCGAGGCATCTCTGTTCTTTACTTCCAGAAAGTTTTCGTGACTTGATTTTTTTTTTTTCTGGTGAATTATGGCCAATAATTCATCTAATTAGCTCTGATTTAGACTTGTATGTTAAAATGAAAGCAATTTAAAAGCAATTAATTGTTATAGTTGCTAGAGAGACCTGGCTCACTGTACACATCAGCGTACTGGCCCTGTGTAACGCTCCCCACTACTTCAAATCAGGGGAAAGTGGATGAGAGAGTTTAAGAGTTCTTCAGGAGGCCAAGCAGCACCAAGCAGACACTGGCCCTGAATGGCACGGACGTATCCAAAAGACAGATGGTAACAGGACACTGATATTAAATTGATAAGTGAACAGGGATTAAAAGATAAATGTTATGCTTTGCAAAAATTATTAGATAATGGCGAAGGCGTCACGTTTAATAGTTCATCTATGCATCCAAGGGACTTTCAAGTTTAGTTTTATTTCAAGCCTATGTCACCATAGCCTATTAAATGCGGCACTGTCATTTTGTAGGGACAGCTGTGTAACGCACAGGCTCTCTTCAACCTGAACAGCAAATGATAGCGTGCCTTTATGAGGGAGCAATAAAAGCTGAACTTGAGCACCAGATTCCCTCTTCTGACCAACAATGAGACACTTACAAACAAATTTCCAGGTAAAATCCCACCATACTTCTGCCAAGCACCAACAAACAAAACCAGAAAGAATTTAATCAAACTACTTGGTATTTTTACGTGTTGTAATGGGAAGTGCTAAAATACCTACAATTTTAACTGACTGTGCTCCTCAGATTTACGTCTGGACAGAGCACATGCTCGTCCAGAACACAGCAGGACATCAGGAAGTTGTCAGAAGAGTGGCTTCTTCACCACATTGTTATCGATAGCTCAGGATTTGTCTTTTCAGTTCTAAGTGACAGAGTGTATTGCTTATCTGGTGAATAAGGCCAAATACCCCCCAATATTAGTTTTGTTATTATGGTAAACATCACACTTAGAAACTGTATTTCCCTCTTCTTCTCTTGTTGCAAACACAGCAAGATTTTATGGCGGTAATTAAAAAATAGTGAGGATGAAATTATTCATCCTATTTATGTCCGCAATAAAATGCAATTTCTCCCTCGCTAAAAACACCTTACAAACTTACAAAACGGGAGAGAGAAAAAGCCATTAGACATACAAAACCCCTGTACTTTATGCCATTTGGGGGGACCGATGAGCTCGGGTAAGGGAAGCTGTAAATTCCTTTCTTTTCTTGCCTGGAAAACACAGGTGGACTTGGCTCCTTCTCACTCTCTGAACTGGCAGCCGATCTCTGGGACCTCTCTAAATGACGGATGGCTTCTCCGGGCAGCTGCTGAGAGCCG